CTATCACAATCCCAATTCTACCTTACAAATCTGGCTAGACCAGAGGATGTACACTGATACAGATAAGAACTGGAAACACAGGGAATCCAGGGCAAATGATCCCTTTAGGACCAGTGGTGAGAGGAGGGTGGAGGGAGGGTAGGGTAGCAAGGGGGAACCCATTACAGGGATCTACATATAACCTCCTCCCTGGGGGACGGACAACAGAAAAGTGGGTGAAGGGAGACGTTGGACAGTGAATGATATGACACAATAATAATTTATAAATTATCAAGGGTTCTAAGGGAGGGGGGAGCAGGGAGGGAGGGGGAAAACCGAGGAGCTGATGCCAGGGGCTTACGTGGAGAGCAAATGTTTCGAGAATGATGAGGGCAATGAATGTACAAACGTGCTTTACACAATTGATGTCTGAATGGATTGTGATGAGAGTTGTATGAGCCCCAATAAAACGATTTAAAAAACAAACCCAACCTGTGGAGCACCATGTAGTCTGGCACCAGAGGTCACACACGGGGTTGTGCTGTTCCAGGGCCCCGCCAGTCCACCAGCAACACGCGTGAGGGAGGATCCCTGTTCTTTGATGCCCGGAGAGCCTCTCCTGACCACACCGGCTGGGTCCCCGGCTCCCAAACCTGCCAAGTCCAGACTCGTGCTGGATCACAGAACCGTCTGTTCCACCACAGCCCACGGGCTTCCTGGAAAGGTCGGTGTCTGAGAGCCGCTTGCTTTTTGGATTCCACAGGCAACAACACAGGCCTGGCCGACCAGATGCCCACCCTGGCCCCTCTAGGGGCAGCAGCTGCCCATCGCACTCAGGGTGAGCGCTTACCTCCTGAATGCGCACCCTGTCATCCGACCACAACTAAAGTCCTCACCACCGGACCGAGGCAGAGCAGGAGCAGCGAGGACGAGACGGAAGTGGTCAGGGATGCGACTTCACGTGGGCCAGCAGGCCCCGCCCACGGCCACGGCCCTGCAGAAAGCACATGATGCGATGCATCAGGCCACTCACTGGCAAGAGACCTCCTGAACGTGCGAAACAGCAAAGATGTCACCGTGATGAGGCGATGACTCAAGTGTGCCTGACGCAGGGCATGGTTGCAACGGTCTAGTATGTGTATGAAAGCCATGCGGTGGAAAAGAGGAACCGCAGACACTTTGATGCCCTTGCAGGGCGATGCTAGTGAAGGATATTGAGTACACAGACCGTACCTAGACTGCTAGAAGGTCGAACCAATCTGTCTTGGGAGAAGGGCAACCGGAATGCCCCTTAGAAGTAAGGCGAGTGAGACGTGCTTGGGGCACGTTACCAAGGGGAGCCAATCCCTGGAGAAGGACCTCATGTTTGATAAAATAGAAGGTGGGGGGGTAGGGGGGCTCAGTGAGATAGCCTGCCACAGTGGCTGCCACAATGGGCTCGAACCTACGGACTTGGGGAAGATTCGGCAGTTGCAGACAATGTCTCATACTGTTTTAGGCACGTGGGGGTCTGCATGAGGCACACCAACTCAAGGGCCCCTACCCCAAACCGTCATGCGTCCCCCCAGGCCTCGGTGACCCGGCTGGGCTCGGCTCCGCTTCAGCTCCCAGCTCTCCCTCCTGCTCGCAACGCTCCGGCACGTCTTTCTTCTGTTCGCCCGAACGAGCTCGCTCCCACCTCAGGGCCTTTGCACTTTCTGCTTGCTCTGCCTAAGTCCTCCTCCATTCTCAGACATCACCCCACCAGTCAGTCTTCACAGACTCCTCCTCTTTGGCTTTCCACCGGTCACTCCCAATCCATGGCTCCCAGTTCTTCATCTGAAATAACCTAATTTATGAGTTTCCTTGTGGGCGTGTTTCAACCTCGCTCCTCCCACGGGACCACACGCTGTTTGGGAGCAGAGAGCTTGTCTGGCTGCTTCACTGCTGTGTCCCCAGGACTGACACCCTGTGGGCACTCAGGAAAGCCGTGCTGAGTGAGTAAAAGCCTCTTGACCTTGGACAACACGTGTGCTCAGCCCCGCTGTGACCCAGAGATACGGTGACTTTGTTTCTGAACCTCAAATCCCGCTGACAACATGGAAATCTGGGGCCCAGGAAAGAGGGTGTCCTCTCTGTTCTGTTTCACAGGCTGAGAACCCCAGGGCAGGCTTTAGAGAGGTTGCACCTACATAAAACCCCACGCCACTATTTTGTAAATGATGATGGCAACACATGTACAGATGTGCTTGACACCATAGATGCATGGATGTATTGTGATAAGAACTGTATGAGCCCCCAATACAATGATTTAAACAAAACAAAAACCCCACGCCACACCTCTGCCCTGCCTGTCTGGGCTGCAAATGGCCTCTGAGCCACCGGTGGGGTTCAGGAACTTGTACTGGTTGGACCTTTGGTTTGCAGGCAACAGAAACCCCAGCGGTGGTCGGCTCGCACTGCTGGGGAGGTCTGTGACGACCCTCAAGGTTAAGAGAATCGCTGCAAGAACCCAGGCTTCAGGGAATTGGGGACTGATGTACTCAGAACTCAGCCCTCCAGATCCGTCTTCCACCTGGGCTTCTTTCTGCTGCTCTGCCCGTGGGCCTCACTGCTCCAACCTGACTGGCCTTCCCTCCTGCCGAGAAGCACGGGGGGGCCCCTTGCAACTCTGATGGAAAGCGGGTTGTTTTTCCCCAGGGCCCCAAGCAATCTCTGCTGGGGCGATGGCCACCCTCTGCACTAACCGCAGACGCTGGGACCTGGCCATGTTGCCTCCATGGCCGGCGAGGAGCCAGCCACTGAGCGTGGCCAGCGGGCAGAGTCATCGGGAGGAGACGGTGGTGGCGGTGTTCAGTGCGGCCCAGCAGGGTCGGACTCAGGGCGACACGACGGACGACAGAAGGAAGCCCCGCGCCCTCCTCGCCACCGTGACATTGCAGCCTATGGCTGCAGCCGCGATGTCAATCCGTCTCCTCGAGGTCTTCCCCTTTTCCACTGCCCCTCTGCTTCACCAAGCACATGGCCTTTTCCAGGGACTGGTCTATCCTGACAACTTGTCCAAAGTATGCGAGGTGAAGTCCCACCATCCTTGCTTCTAAGGACAATTCCAGTGGTCCTTCTAAGACAGGTGTGTTTGTGTGTTTGGCATCCATGGTACTCTCAAGAACTCCCAATCCACAAAGTCCTCCTCCATCTCATAAAACACGCAGTGACGCTGACTGCAGGAGGAAAGCAGAATCAGTGAGTGTGTAAGCATCTCAGTGCCGGCAGGGGTCTCCACACGGCTGCTCCAGCCCCCAGGGCTGCATCGGGGTAGGTCCATGCAGCTTCTCCTTGGGGATGTCTTGCAGGAAGTCACCCTTGCCAGCTGAAGCAGGGAACTGCTAAGACAACCGCAACCCGGGCCGACCATCACAAAGCAAGAGACCCGAGAACTATAAAGGTGAGGTTCACCGAGCCATTTATCCCTTCGCCCTTCAATTAGCCCCACATGTGTTTATTGGCCAGGCTGGCACAATAAACTACCTCAGTAGGTGGCCTCTGTCACCAGGATCCAGGGGATGACAGGGAGAAGGGAAGTGGCGAGGCTGGCCATGGCGGAGCCCAGTGACTGACTAGAGGTGAGTGCAATGAGAAGGAGGCGCCCAGCCACGGCCTCAGGGAGGGAGAGAGCGCCCAGGGCCAGGAGGACATCAGGGACTTTGGTGGATGGGGAGGAGCGCAAAGTGGAAAGAGAAGCTGAAGAGACGTCCCTACAGCTGCAGATCCTTCCGTGCCTTCGAAACAGACGGACGGATGGACGGACGCAGTGCTGGTGCCTCCCTCCGCCGTCCCAGCTGCCTCTCCTCCAGTGCCCTGGGGGACTCGACTCCAGGACAAGGAGGCCCTTCTCCTGGCAGCCACCTTCTGCTGCCATCTCCCTGGCCGAGAGCATGTGGTCTGTGCCCTGCCGGAAGAGAGCTGGAGACCGTAATTGTGTTAATTGCCCCAATACCAGATCTGCAATTAATATGGCATGGGAACAAAGAGCAAATACACTAATAGCACATAATTGGGCTTAAACTGCACCCTCGGCAGAGCTGTGCACCGAGCTCTGTTGTTGAGGCTCCTTTTCAAATTAGCAGAGATGAGCAAATTAACATCTGGTTCCCCTTCACCCTGCTTGGAGAGGAGCCACGGCAGGAGCCTTAGGGTGGGAGATGGTGTGGGTCCCCTTTGTAGATCCTGGTCCACAGTCAGGCATCCAGGCCTGGCCTTTGAAGCTGTGGGCAGGATGAGGGTGGCCAGGGCCTCTCAGCTTCTGGCTGCAGGAGTGAGGAGTTCAGCCCTCCCCGAAAGCTCTGACACCCACCCAGGGTGGCCCGGAGGTGGGTGTGACTCACCCAGGGGAGACTATTTGGGATGTCTGGGCCTGCGCTCCATTGCTGCAAACTCTTCTCCTCCATCCTGGGCAGGTGTCCCGTCCAGGCCCAGGTAGCAGCCCCCAGGGAACTACACTTTCTCCTACTGCCCATTCAGCCTGGGGGCCTGCCTTCTGGTGTTTCGGAGGCGCAGGGAGAGGCTACAGGTTGGCCCTGACATGTTTGGCTCCCACCGGCAGGTGCCCTGCTATCGTCCCAAGTCTTCACCCTAACAGGCAGTGAGGGACCTTGGCCCTGTGCAGATCCGCCCTCCCCCCACCTGCATTTGCCTCGCGCCCCATTCCCTGTGCTTCTCCACCTGCCTCTTCCTCCAGCTCCCGCTCTTGCTGAAGGTTCTAGAAGGGCCCAGCCTCTGTTGACCATGACCCTAGCTAGGCCTGTTCATTGTGGGGCTGCTGATAGTTCAAACACATCACTTGCTCCTCAGGAGAAAGACGTGGCAGCCTGTTTCCTGAAAGCCGCACAGTCTTGGAAATCCCAGGGGGCAGTTGCACTCCGTCCTCGCTGGCCGGTCCCTGCGAGTTAACTGAACAGCAGTGGTCTGGGTCCATGGGGCCTGTGCTGGCAGGGGGCCAGACTGGGCGTGGACTTCTGTCTTCCTAAACTGGCGCTCTCCCCTCCCTCTGGCCCTTGGCCCTGGGCGGCCCGCCTCTCTTGGCCTGGGAACAGGGAACAAGGCCTGTCTTGCTCCAGTGTGCATCCTGGAAATGCACTTCCCTGGCTTTTCCAGCCCCCTCAAAGCCTCCTCCCCAGCTCCTACTACATCCATGGAGGCCAGGCTCATTATGAATGTCCAGGGCCTTATCTGGGTCTGGAGAAGATGGTCTTCCTCAGACAGCAGCCTCCTCCTTTGCATCCTCTAAATCGATGCCCTCGGAAGATCAAAACCTCAGCACTGCTGCTTCAATGGGGCCGCCGCTGAGCAAGGGGCTGAGAGAAAGAGAGAGGGGCGGCTGGGATCTCCCTCTGGAGACCCACCCACAGGGAGCTAGGGACCGGGCACTACAGCCCTTGGGAGGTGCTGGCAGAGCAGATGTCTCTCCGCAGGAGAGGGGTCCCCCTCCACCCCCAACTTCCCATCTAGTCCTGTAGACTGGACAGAGAAGGGGGCAGAGCCAGGCCTGGGTCAGCAAGGCGACCTGGGATGTGCTGGGACCCTGGACCAAGGCTGAGGGAGAGGAGGCTTTGTGAGGAAGGGTCCTCAAAACCACCAACCAATGCTGCCAGAAGGTGGATGTCGGACCTCCTCTGGCGTCCCCGTGGTCAGGAGGCTGGAGCATCACAGCCCATCCTTCATCACCCATGTCCACACCCACAATCCCTCCCACCCGCTCTACTTCCGTGCTCCATTTGACACGTCATTACATAGGCCACACAGCACCACCGGGGGATCCTCACAATGAAGGGGTTCCCTAGGGCTTACCCACCACTTGTCTGGCAGCTTGTCATCCTGTGAGTCTGGGAGCGAGGTCACTGGTATTTCAAACGCCAGCGAGGTCTCCCAAAGTGAACAGGCTCCTGCGGAGCTTCGGGACTAGGAGCAGACAGTGAAGTCGGACTGGGATCCCCACCTCAGGGGAAGTAGCCACTGAAACCTGTATGCGTAGCTTTGAAACGTGTCGGACCCTGACGGCCGGATGACTGCGAGCAGGACACTATCAGAGGCAGAGCCGATGGGCCCTTGGCGTCCAAGGACACTCAGAGTGTGACTGAGGAGGAGCTGCTTTCTGGGAGGGGACTCCCCAGGGTGGCGGAAGTCAGGTGAAGCCTGGGGGGGTGGAGTCTTTGGGATCTTCATTGGCTGATGGGGCATGACTCAAGTTACGGAGAAAGAGCTGCAAACATCTTCTGATGATTGGGACCTGGAATGTGAGGAATATGAATTTAGGAAAATTGGAAGTGGTCAAAAATGAAATTAAATATATAAAGATCGATATCCCACAACAGAAAAGTGGGTGAAGAGAGACGTTGGACAGTGTAAGACATGGAAAAATAGTAATAATTTATCAATTATCAAGGGTTCATGGGGGGGGGATGAAAAAACAATAACAACAACAACAACAAAAGATCGATATCCTAGACATTAGTGAGCTGAAGCAGACTGGTATTGGCCATTCTGAATCAGAAAACCATGTGATTTACTTGTGCCGGGAATAACGCCATCAAGAGGGATGGTGTGGCATTCCGTGTCAGGGAGGAGCTTGCTGAATCCATCAGGAGGAACAATGCCATTTGTTATAGGACTGTATCTGTCCGCCTTCAAGGGGATCCAATCAAGACAACTATTATCCAAGTTCAGGCACCAACCACAAGAATTAGTGAGGAAGAAATTGAAGAATCTTACCAATCAATGACTTCAGTCAGAAATTGATCAAAGATGCACTGATCAAGATGTAATCAAGATGCATTGGTAGTTATAGGCAATTGGAATGCCAAAGTTGGAAACAAAGAGGAACAGTAGTTGGAAAATATGGACTTCGTGATAGAAATGAAGCTGGGGATCACATGATAAACTTTCCAAGACCAATGACTATTGATATTTCATAGTGTGGTAGTTACATAATCTGGTGTCAATTTGAGATTAAGAGTAAAGAGGTGGAGTCTAGCCTGTCAATCAGGATATTTTTGGCAAGAACTGCTGATCAAGCAAATAGAAGTAGTTTCTTAGAGGGGAAAAATGCAGGTGGTGCTAGACCATTGACAATTGAAGTATAAGTTGAAATATTTATGTTCCAGTCAAAGCTTAAACCTAAAAAATTTTAAGAATGAACAGAAAATTGAAAGCAGTTGCCACATATTGTTGTTTTCTATCAGCAACCTAGCTGGAGGTGGTTGTATTTAAATAATGATATGTGCAAAGGACAATGATTTTTGTAATGGCATGGCCTTCTCCTGAGGATTCTGGGAACTCTTGTATTCCTTCCTGGAGGCCGGAGACGCACACTCTCTCTGCTCACTCCCTGCAAGACATCCCTGTGGAGAGAGCACATGGAGAGAGGCTGATGGAGCCAGACCTCTGGAGCTGGAGAAGCCACATGGAGACCCCTGCCAACACTGAGATGCTAACAATGCCACTGGATCCACAAGACTTCCCACCAACTGGCCTGTGATCTCCCTGCATTTGGTGTCATTGCATGGGTTTCATGAGTCTGAAGAGGACTTTATAGATTGGTATCGGACATATGGGCTAATATCGGACTTGTGGACTTCATCTGGACTGGGCTGGGATATTGTCTCAACATTTTAAGCGCTCTTGTATAGAAAGCTCTTTCTTATGCACATGAGTGTTTACAAATTTGTCTCTCTAGTCTACCCAGACTAACACACATAGCAATTACTTTTTTTCCGACAACACAAATGGTGATTATGCACATGGACTTCTCCAGATGGAATACACAGAATCAAATTGCATCTGTGGGAAGAGATGACGGAGAAGTTCAATCTCAGCAGCTAAAACCAGGCCAGGGGCTGATTGATGGAGCAGGTCATCAATTACTCATATGTAAGTTCAGGTTAAAGCTGAAGAAAATTAAAACAA